TCAGCCACCAAGCACACAGTGCCTCCCTGCCCTCGGCCCAGCTGCAGAGAGAGGACACATCTCCCCCCACAGTGGCCCTAAAATGTAAAGCGTATACTGCTTTTTTATTTCTCTTTCATCTTAACCCTGTGTTTACAGGTTTTCCATGTCAAGAGCTTGCCTGAATTTCAGTTATAGTCTTTGTCTCTCTCTCTCAGATACCCTCCCCCACCTTTCCCCTAGTACACAAGTGGAAATTTCCACTGAAGCTTTCTGAGGCTCCGGGTAGGTGGGGGTGGGGCGGGGTTGGGGAGGCCTTTGCGCCCGGAGCGTCTTGGAGCATTTAGCAGACAGGAGACAGACGTGTCACAGGGATGCCAGTCCTTGCCAGAGCCGGGCTGTGCCAAGGCCAAGGACTAGCACCTTCAAACCGATCAGCATCTTCTGTGTGGGGAAGCCCCTTTTCCTTTTACATCTATGGAGCTGCGTACATGTTGAAGCACACCAAACATGCTGCAGGAGCCTGACAACTCGCGGGGCACCGACGCCGAAAGGGAACTTGGATGGTCACAGCAATTCTCCCTGATCCTACCGTGGATCCCCTCGAACCAAGAACCGAGTCAGGACACTGGCCCTGACTTCATTCAGGCTGGCAGGAAAGCATGAGAACATGGGACAGTTAGCTACCAGGAAAGCTAAGGAGGAGAAGCCGCCTCCTCCAAAGAGGGTGCCAGCGCTCTTGCAGCAGGCTGTAGACACACTTGGGGAGCAAGGCAGTAAAATTCCACTGATTCACCACCGAGCTGGTTATTTTTATCATTCTGCTTACCCGTAAATAGAAGGGCATCTTATATGTAGGCCAGCACATCTTTGCTACCAACCCCTATTCAAATTTTAAGCCCCAAAAATGGAAGACAAAGGGTGAAAGGGGCAAGAAGCCCTTTGTCTCTGTGCACTCTTACGCACAGGCAAGCAGGCAGCAGCCCAGGCTCACTGCAGCCAGTCAGATCTAGTAAGAACCGACACAAAAGCAGTCAGAGGCTTCCTTTTAACAAGCATGGGCCCACCACAGTGGACACCAACCGGTATCCTCTGCTGCCCCATCTAGTGGAAAAAGAGCCTTAAGGTCCACGTAACAATGCGAGGCAGCCTGCAGTGGTTCTGGCAAAGGGAGGCCTGTCAACAGCTCGGCATGATGCCGGCCCCTTTCGATGACCACCTACCTCCTCTGCTCCCTCCTGCCTAGGGGACAGCCTCCCCTCCCAGGGGCAGGGGAATACAGCAAGGAGTTCCCGCTTCAGCTCTGCTTTCCCCCAGAGCTGACGAAGACATCCAGGTGAGGCACAGACGTGGAGATAACCAAGAGACGAAAGCCAATTCAGAGCCAGAGTGATCCCCGGGCCCTCCAGACCCCAGCCTGGGTCCTGCTCTGTTTGCCAGGACACCGCCTGGGGAGGACAAGCTGAGGAAAACCCACTTGGTGCTGCTCCAGGAGGCCGGAACTCCCCAGGCCAGCCTGGATCAGCAGCTGCAGAGGTGTCTGGTCAACTTTCTGCTGCTCCGAAATTCGCATCACCTGGGGCACACTTGGAGTGTGATACGCTTCTGGCGAGCTACAGGTGTCAGATCCTGTCCCTGTCCCTGATTAGGGTGACCAGATCCTGGCCTCATTCTGCTGCCAGGTGAAGCACAGAACATTTTCAAAAACGAGTTTGAAAAGGTCCTTGACTGTGCATAAATGGCTCATCCAATTCTCCCGACCCTCGGGAGCAGGAACTGAGCATATTTCTGCGGCCAATCTGAGAAATAACAGTCAAATTGTTCCAATGGGACAGTGAGTTCCCAGTTATGAAGAACAGACTTACAGACAAATTTCTGAAACATAAGCTGTTTCTAAAGTGGGGACTGACAAAATTAATATTTGGGATGTAGTAACTGTTTTTATTTTTGGCATAAACTGGCGATAGACTTGACATAACAATAAACGCCAAGAAGCACTTTCCAAGTGTGCCATCTTCTCTTTGGGAACTTGCCAGTTAACCTCTCCAAGCACTGTACAATCTATTCTTTTTTTCAACCACTATGGGCATTTGTGTAGTAAGGGTCAGTCTGGTGGACCGGTTAGGAATGAGGAAAACTACTCAATATTCTGGGAGGTGACCTAGACCAACACACCTGACTGCCAGCCCCGGGCCTGTGCTACCCTGCTGCATGGGGAACCTCCACTTGTCCCCCCCTCTGCTGGTCCCTGACTAGACCACAGCTGCTTGGCACCTGGAACCATGTCACTGACCAAGAACCATCCTAAGACCTATGACTACCCCCAGGGCATACCACTTCTTTCTATAAGATGTTCAAACAATAAGCACAGGATACCCACAGCACCACAGGGAGATGTGGATTCTCCAACGGCATCGAGGTCACTCCATCGATTAAAAGAGGCTCCAACATTCAAGTCAGTGTCTCATCAAAACTACTGGCACAGGCCTGGTGCGATAGCCTAGTGGCTAAAGTCCTCGCCTTGCACATGCCAGGATCCCATATGGGCACCAGTTCTAATCCCAGTGGTCCCGCTTCCCATCCAGCTCCCTGCTTGTGGCCTGGAAAAGCACTTGAGGATGGTCCAAAGCCTTGGGACCCTGCACCCACATGGGAGACCTGGAGGAGGATCCAGGCTCCTGGCTTTGGATCGGCTCAGCTCTGGCCATTGTGGCTGCATGGGAAGTGAATCAACGGACAGAAGATCTTCCTCTCAATCTTTCTTCCTCTCAATCTCTCTTCCTCTCTGTATATCAAACTTTACAAAAAAAATAAAGCTTAAAAGAAAAATACTGGCACATGTCATGGCCTCCAGGGCTATTCAGGAAGAGCCAGAATTCTGAATGCTAACTTGTGTAACCGACACGCTCACTCGGCTGCCTTCCCGACATCCAGCATGCCCTGGCACACACCCTGTAATGCCTTTCTGGCCTGGGCCACGCACATCAGGAACTAGCCAAGTGACAAAACTCAAGCATGGACAGGGTAAATGACTATGGGACTTGGGCTGAAGTGGAGACCAACCTTAAAACCTAGACTGCAGATACCCAGACGCACCACCCAATGCCACATCTTCAACCAGTTCACTCCACGCACAACAGCCCTCAAGGCCTCAGTCATGGAAGGCCTTGAACAACCATCATGGAAGGGATCTTACCAAAGCCCTTCTAATGCTTGCATACTAATATGCCTCTAGAATGAAGGAGATCCTACAAGACTTCCCACTTCTAGAAGAATCCTTGTTTGTCTCTATTGGTGGATCACCTCTGAGGAACTGCAGTTTCAGAAACCAAAGCTTGGGGGGGAAAAAACACCTTAACCTATTGAGTCCCAAGTTTCCCATCCTGTAACAACCTCAATGATGTATTTATTTCAAAGTTACCAAAACCGAAATGCTTATTCCTTAAGTTTTTATAGATGTCTGATGTAAAATGGTGGAACATAATGGGTTGCACAAATAGGAAACACTGCAGAAATGCAAGTTCAAACACATACCCTGCTCCAGGTCTTGTGACACAGCAGGTTGAGCTGTCATGTTGGTGCCTAAGCCCTGCTGCTGCTTCTGACCTCGCTTCCTACTAACATGCCTGGGAGGCACCAGATAATGGCTAAGTCCTTGGGTTCCAGTTATCTATGTGAGAGACCCAAATGGAGTCCCCGGCTCCTGGCTTCAGCCTGGGCCATCCCTGGCTGTCTGGGCCACCTGGAGAACCAGCACTGCACACACCTTGGACACATGTGAGTGTAGAGGCTGTCAGAGTCCCCAGTTAAGCAGCCGGCAGCAGCAGCAGCAGCATCACTCACACACCTGTCACATGAGCATGCTCCACGTCAACCAGCCCTCAACAATGCCAAGTCCTCTCCTTAGGAAAGGGTAGCAGGAAGCCACCCTACTGTGCGCAATGCAAGCACCACATGAATGAAGAAGCCGACCTCTCCTGGTTCAATCCCTTTTACCGGAGAACCTCGTTGGTCGTTCCTGCCAGATTTCACACGCTCCTCTCTACACAAGGGAAGGGTTCATAGCCCTGCTGTCAAAACCAGAGCCTTCTGTGGTTAAAACAGAAAGGCTACACAGACACTCCCCAGTCCCTCTGCTTTTCTGCTCCTGGAAGCAGCCTAGCCACCATGCACTCCCCGTTGCCTAGCAACACTGCAGCCTCCCTCCAAGGGGCTCTCCAGAAGCTCAACCCCAGCACCAAACAAGGCGAAGCAATCTGAGAAGGAAATTTCCACACCCTGGCAGCAGCTGACCCGCATAGGGAAGCTCGGCGTGAGGTGCGAGTGCACACACCCCACGCGACGCATGCAGCGCTGGCTGCAGAGCACAGCTGGTCCTCAGGACCATGGAAAAGCAAGCCCTGGGCCTAAGGAAGCCACATCTGGGAAGCTGTATGTTTGCCCTAAACCTCCTGCCGCAGAGAGCCAGGTGAGGGCCAACCTTCAACTCTTGCCTTTCCCAGGGGCTAACATCCCCCAAATCAGAAACTACAGTTAGAGAACTCCACTAATGGTTCTCAAAGAATTTCTATGAAAAAAAATTCTTGCAATGGAACCAAATCTTTGTCATAGGTTTAAGGAAGCTGATGTGCATTGTGGGGAAAAAAAAATTTCGCCTCAGAAAACTGATCATTTGAGGAGCATCCATCCTGGAGTAGGTAGGGCTCTGGCTCTGCTTACGTAGCTTAGTCATTTTGCTTCTCACCTGCAAACCTGCACACTTACAAAAGGATGCACTCAGTGTGTGAATGGCACCTTCTTCCCCACGCTGACCAGCCTGTCGCGCTCAGCACAGCCTGGGTCAATCCCCCACTGACAGCCTAGGGCAAGCATGACCATGTCCCACTTGCAACAACCGCTCATTCTCAGGCACAGGCCTGAGTGACAGGGCTCTGGCTGTGAAATTATGACTTCTAAGAGTCAACAGCTTCCTTTTCTAAGCCCATCGGAGACTGCTTCCAGCAGCTCGCCCAGCAACTCACCCGCCTCGAGTGTGCTTCTGACTGTGGACGGAGATCCTGTAAGGAAGCGCCCGCTCACCCAGGTTCTCCAAGTTCCTCACGATGGCTCCTCTGTCCATCAGCGCTTGCAGCATCCGTTTCAGAGCAGCAGCAGTCTCTGGCTGGTTGGCGTTTGCATTTTTAAAGAGAAGGAGGAAAAAAATCCTCATCAGATTTGATACACGAATCAGAACGATTAAACCTGATCAGGTCCGAATGTTCAAACAGCTTAAGAAGTTGCAACCACTGAGTGAAAGCAAGAGTAACAGGTGTGTGTGATTTGAACACGCCCAGGGAGACACTCAAGGATGTGAGGATGCTTGGGAGAGGGCAGTGGTGGGTGTGACTCCCAAGTGTCGCAGGGAGTGCCAAGTGGCTTCCTCGGTGCACCTCGTTATGCTGCAGCAGTGCCCATCACTGTCAGTCAGTGCGCCCCACTACCAGAATCCAATGTCAAGGTGAAGAACAACCTGCCAGCAGCACACCTTCTGGACCCCACCGGAAAACCACAGCCAGTGGAAAAGTGGCTGTCAACCTGCACCCCTGCAAAGCTTACAACCTAATGAAGGGGTACACACACACACAGGGCCCAGAGACCAGAGGGAAGACTGTAAAGGAAACCTTATTGCAGAGGACCCCTGAATGTCACGACTGGACACGCAAAGAACAAAGGCTGCAGGAAGGGGCCACGGTGGGATGGCGAGAGTGCACTGAGCAAAGAGCCAGGTCCTGCAGGAACCCAGAGCAAGGGGAGCTGGGGAGACTGTCTGCGGGGACCAGTACTCGCATGTGAGTCATGAGGGTCTATTACAAATCACAAAATCCACACAACATAAAACACCATCATCCAGAGACGAGATTTTCAACATGTTGGTGACCTTCCAGATGTGTCTCTATGCACACGCATGCACAAGGAATGTTGGAAGGAAAGGCACTTGACCAAGGTAAACCTGAAACATGCATCTGCTATAGTGTGAAGAACAAACATGGGACGTGCAAGAGGTGACACCACGGTCTGATGGCTAGGGAATGGCACTGGGGACAAGGAAAGACAAACAGAATTTGGCGTTGTGCTGGAACATGTCAGGCTACTGTCTGCAATGCCGGGATCCCCCATCAAAATGTTGGCTGGCATCCCTACTACTCCACTTCCAATTCAGCTCCCTGCAATTGTGCTTGGGAAAGCAGGCGAAGACAGCCCAAGTACTTGGGTCCCTGCTTCGTATGTGGGAGGCTCAGATGGAGTTCCTGGCTCCGAGCCACAACTGTGGTGGCCATCCGGGGAGTGAACCAGTGGAGAGAAGATCCAAAACTTGTAAAAAATTAGTTTAGAACACATTGGGTCTAAGATGTCCATAGCTCCTCTAGGTTGACATCCAAGACATAAACCTTAAATTCCAAACAAGTCAGTCAGAAACACATTTACAGATCCCTGCTGAAGCAAGTGAGGTCAAGAAGGGAAGAGAGCACCAAGAGACCCCCCCTTGAGGGGCTCAGAGTTGGAGAACTGAACAGCATATAGCAGAACAGGTCAAGAAAAACCCAGAGCCCGTCTTGTCACAAAAAAACAAAGGAACAGGGGAAGAGGATGGAGAGGAAGAAAAAGCCACTGTGTATGGCTGCACCAACCCAGCAGGCAAACAGCTGCGGCTTCCAGGGCAGCGGGGCAGAGTGGGAGGGAGGGAGGAGGCCTCCAGGCTCAGGAGTCCATCCGACAACGGGTCCTAGGAAGGACAGAGAACGAGCAAGTCAGGAGTTAAAGGAAAACACACCAGTAAGGGGGATAAATTTTCTTAAGTAACAACAATGATGACAGCCATGATTTACTGCATGAATGACTGCATGCCAGACTCTGGGCTAGTGTTTTTTATTGTGACATATCCTCACTACCCACCCACCTTCCTTCTCCCCCTCCAAAAAAGACAGGAAGGTTACAGATCTGGAATCGGGACTCTTGAGAGATATCACAAGGAAGCTGCCAGAGCACGGGGATGAGAGGAGGGGGACCACACCCAGACAAAGGCCAGGGGCATTTGTCAAACACACAGGGCGAGGGCACAAGTGAGGAGACCCCAACATGCAGGGGACAGCACAAGAGGCTCCCTTCCAGCGGTTAATTTGGGTCAAAGGACAAAAAAGTTGCACAAGTTCCTCAATGTTCATTGTAGTAACCACAGAAAATCCACTACATTTCCAATCTATGAGCTTTCTGAAAAACCTGCTAAATCGTTATAAATGCACAAAGTATTAGCTTAGAAAGAAAATTACTTCATCTCCTATGGTAGCCTGCTAAGGATTTGGAAAAAATCCTCACTGAAATGTTAGGCTTATTTATATATTTAACCAACCAGATGATAGAGCAGACACTTCCTGGAAGCAGTTTAGAGGTCAAAATCTCTACCAATTAACGCTGACAAGGTAAAAAGTCCACAGCGGTTTGTCCCTGTGACTGCATGAGACAGTTTTAATCACATGCAGATTAAATCATTCTCACATTTCATTAGTCCACAAAGACATTTCTTCACATTTCAGCAGAAGCCTCATTATTAACAGCAGGATGGCATTTCATTTTATTAAAAAGCTGTTTCTTGACGTGTTATTGCATCAATTAACTTAGATAAGATAAATACTCTACCCACATAAACAGGGAAAAAAGTTTAAAAACCCAAGCTTTCTTGATCACGGTCTTCTGATTATTCAAATAAGAAATTTTAATTTCAGTTTTGCCTGATTAAAGAAAAATATATGTCCATATCACATCTCCTGTTTAACTTCCAACTTAAGTGTTTATGGTACAAAACAGGGAGTATCTTCTTCTGAATCAGTTGTGAAACTACACTTTAACATCTGTCCAAAAAAGGGGGAAAGGCTATGTACCAAGAATGTAATTTTAAAAAATACAAAAACACGTTTTTAAAAAAGAGATTTCTTTTATTGAAAGAGTTACAGAGGAAAAGCAGAAAGAACCATCCGTTGGTTCACTCTCTAAATGGCTACAATGGCCAGAAATGAGCCAGTTCAGAGCTGGGCCAGTTCAGAGCTGGGCACCAGAGACTGTCAGGTTTTCCACACCACTGCACAGGCCCAAGGCCACAGGCCATCAGCAGGGAACTGGGCTGGAAGTGGACCAACCAATACAAAAACCAGTGATCAATATGGTATGTTGGTACTACAGGCAGACAGAAGTGGCATGCCATACAACTGTGTAGTCCCCAAAAACAAATGTTGACTTTAGTATGCTAAAGTCATGGGCTATTTAAATGGGTGCATCATTCATTTCATTGTCATTTCGAATTACTCAAGTTTTAAAAGGATGGAGGGAGAAGGGGCACCTCTGCAAATAAAATCATATTGGGACATTTTCTTAGAACTTACACATACATGTGCATAGTCTATGGCTGTTTTGATGCTAATGGAACATTTGTAACTACAATTTTATGGCCTTAACTATTTACCATTCAACCAAAACCTACTCTATTACGTTGGGTTGGGAGAAGTTGGCATGGCTTCAATTTGTTCATCATAAAATACACCACAAATCAACCCAAGAGGTCGGGCTCCTAACTGAAGCACAGAGAGGAAGGGCCGTGGGAGGGGTCAAAGGGAGACAAACAGGACACCACCTCATGTTTAACTCACCCTGAGCTCAGAATGGTCCTAGAAACTTGCCATTCCAACCACCGTGCTCCTAACCTCCTTGTCAGCCTCAGGGACCAACCTCAGTTTGCTCATTTAGGAACCCGTAGATCTAAATTTTTAGGTTTTGCAAAAAAGAAAATAAAGTATGGTGGAGTCTAGCACGATGTTCAATTTGTAACAGCAAATGGTTTGTAGAAAGCCAATGATCTTGCTGCCAAGTTATTTGTCAGTTGCAAGGCCTCTGAACAGTTCGATGTCAGCTCTTCTAAGAGAAGTTGGTGTGTTTTTATGCAACTCTCCCACCCACACCTGCAAGCAGTTCTCCCAACTTTGCTTCCACAGCTGTGGTGGTGCTAACTGGGTGCATACTGCAGGAGTTTTGTCGACAACATTTCTCCTTTGGGAATTATTAGTTTCCTTAGATGAAACACTGTGAGGTTGGAATGATATTCCTTCCCATGCATTTCTTTTTTTTTTTAAAGATTTATTTATTTTTTTATTGGAAACGCAGATATACAGAGAGGAGGAGAGACAGAGAGGAATATCTTCCGTCCGATGATTCACCCCCCAAGTGATCGCAACAGCCAGAGCTGAGCCGATCCAAAGCCAGGAGCTACGAGCTCTTCCGGGTCTCCCATGTGGGTGAAGGGTCCCAAGGCTTTGGGCATCCTTGACTGTTTTCCCAGGCCACAAGCAGGGAGCTGGATGGGAAGCAGGGCCACCGGGATTAGAACCGGCGACCATACGGGATCCTGGCGCGTGCAAGGTGGGGACTTTAGCCACTACACTATAGCGCTGGGCCCCTTCCTATGCATTTCTTAGCTTAACTTTACTGATTTTGGGGGGGGGGGACAAGTTTAGGTGCTGCTCTTGCTTTTGTTCTTCCCAACTCTTTGTTCTCAACAGAAACTTGGACCATTAAACACTCTGTAAGGGTGATTTTCAAAATGTGGCTTAAGGACCCTTTGGCTTCCCAAGCACCCTTTCAGGCAAATAATTTAGCAGAAGAGGAAATTGTGGCTTGTATGCCAAAAGCACAAATTTTCTGCTGTGCCGAAAGTGTTTCGTTGACCTATCTGTAGAAGAAAAGAATGCATATCCACCAGGATATATCATTTGAAATACAGAATCCACAACATTTAACAGCATTTATCACCCACCTACACCTTGTCCTCTACTCCCCTCTCTAAGAGCTGTACTACCTCCAGAGGGGTAAGGCCTCAAAGAAGGTACAGCCTGGACAGAAAAGACTGTCAAGATCTGTGAAAATGTCATTTCTGCCCTTCCCACTTTGTGGAATCCTCACTTCAGTGCTTAAATTCCAAACAGGAGGATGTCGCTGCAAGCTCGACACCGAGATCCTCACAGCCATCTGGAAACTACAATCTGCGCCTGACCTGTGTCCACACCAGTCTGTCGGGAGGCAGCAGCATGGTTATGGAGAAGACACAAATGCCCACCGCAAAGCGTGTGAAGAGCCAGG